TGTCTTTTTTACAGTATGTCCGGTGCTCGACTCATCTGCCATCTTGCTCACAACCTTATGCCAGGAGCTTTGGGATTGGCTAGTATTTGTAATGGCGGCGGTGGAGCGTCCGCCATGATCATACGAAAGCTATGATATCCAAGCAGTAAAATCTAAAATATTTAATACGCTATAGTTTATCCTGCAAGTATAACTTGTAGTCCTTGGACGCTTTCCATTTGTTCGAATTGTTATGAAATTAGAGGTCGAATATTCCGGAATAATCGGGGTCCATTTGCAGTTTTTTTCTGTTTCCCGCGCTTTTCTTGCCCCGGTTGACGCGCGTACCATTTGTATTTCCCGCTCTTTTCGTTTGTTCCGGTCGACGCGCGTACCATTTGAATTTCCCGCTCTTTTTGGATAAAAAGCTGGACTGAACACACGACCAATATTTCGGAAAAAAATGGATTGCAATGCATTTTAAACTTTATTTATATTACAAATGGAAAATTATTTTACGTGGACTAATGGAAAGTGCTCCTGGTCTRCCATCTGTACTTGCCAAATATTTGTATTCAGTCAGGAAACTGAAAGGATATTCTGTAGTCTTGGGCATCCTGTGGTTTTTACAATGTCAGTTCTAAGTGTGTTGTATTGTATCTTTATGTTATAATGTATTATATTCAATGTGCAAAGGATTCGCTTTCCTGTGTTTTTTGTGAATGTTAGTACGAGAACGAAGTTTAGTGTAATACTATTTGCAAATGTAAAACTTACTAAAATATAGTTTATGCGTTTTGAAATAGAATTTTTAATGGACTACAAGTTTAATGTTTGTAAAACTTTTTATAGCTTTGCTCATTGTCAGCTTCCTGAAAAAAAATCTACCAAATCTATATAACCGTGTTTCTTCCATGGGAAGGCGTGTTTCGAAAGCAAAGSAGCTTCTTCGCTGCATYACGGAAGTCGGACAGACAGACACAATAGATATAGGGACTAATACAAGAATTGACGAGAGGAAGGAAGAAAAATGCAATGAAGGTCATTATTGACAAACCAATGCAATCAATAGAAGGATATCAATAAAATACAAAAAGATGTTTGTAATGTAGAGAGGTCCATAACAACAGGAATATAGCARYAACGAATATAAAACCATCTTTACCGCGTTGCRGATTCGYTTTCTTCGCTKTTGTCTTTGTAATTCAGAAAGACTGTCTTCAATAGCTTGCGGTTTGGMTATCCTTCGTAATGTTAAGATACTTAGAACAACCATTAATGAATAGTAGACTAGTAGCCAGGTTGAATGTACAAGTACGATAGCGATATCCGGTATCTTTTTGTTAGGTATTGTATACATARCACAACTCTTCTGTGAGCCATTACCTTCAATWCGAGCGAAAATTGGCCAATGCAAGCTCATTAACACAGCATTAATCCAGCAACCAGCAATGACCACCAAGCGTCGTTTTCCAGACAACGATTGYGATATTCGAACAGTGGTGTTTCTGTATCTTGCAATGCTGATGACCAGCAAGGTTACCARAGACTCCAWAACAAAAATACCATTAATAAATGAGAAGGCTTTGCAAAGAACTAGAGCAACGTTTCCACCGATTTCACCCCATATACTATATGTACGAAAACTGTAGTCATTGATATAGCGAGGAACTTGTAAAATAATGAACATTGTATCAGCGACGGCCATGTTGATGATCAAAAAGTGCAGACTCTTCGTTACAGTGTACTTTACAGCCAGCACGATGACAAAAACGTTGCCAAAAATACCAAATCCGCCGAGAACCAAACATGTCATCAGTGCTAGAGTTTTTGCAATGGGGGAATCAATTTGCTCGTACGTACAGTAGTTGCTGCCATTCAAGAGGTTCGAGTCATTCATATTTAAGATCGATATCGCTGTCGAGCTCGTTCTTTAGATTCGATTTTTCTTGATCTAGATACTGTAGTTCATCAATTTGCCAATACCTTTTCCATCTTTTCAAAATTTATTTCCTTCTTCCTGAAATCTTCTTCTTACTCTTGAATCTAGTGCTCTGTCAATACCTTTCCATCTTTTCAAAATTTATTTCCTTCTTCCTGAAATCTTCTTCTTACTCTTGAATCTAGTGCTCTGTCAATACCTTTNGGACAAAGAAGGCAACACAGCATTGATGTATGCCATAGCTTACGCTAATGAAAACACCGCTCTTGCAATGATTGAAAACAGCAAATATCTGAATTTAAATACTGTCGACAATCAAAGCCAAACAGTATTGATGAAAGCTGCTATTAGTGGGATGACGAGATTTGCTCTGGCACTAATCAAATGTGGTGCTGATGTCAACATCAAGGACAAAGAAGGCAACACAGCATTGATGTATGCCATAGCTTACGCTAATGAAAACACCGCTCTTGCAATGATTGAAAACAGCAAATATCTGAATTTAAATACTGTCGACAATCAAAGCCAAACAGTATTGATGAAAGCTGCTATTAGTGGGATGACGAGATTTGCTCTGGCACTAATCAAATGTGGTGCTGATGTCAACATCAAGGACAAAGAAGGCAACACAGCATTGATGTATGCCATAGCTTACGCTAATGAAAACACCGCTCTTGCAATGATTGAAAACAGCAAATATCTGAATTTAAATACTGTCGACAATCAAAGCCAAACAGTATTGATGAAAGCTGCTATTAGTGGGATGACGAGATTTGCTCTGGCACTAATCAAATGTGGTGCTGATGTCAACATCAAGGACAAAGAAGGCAACACAGCATTGATGTATGCCATAGCTTACGCTAATGAAAACACCGCTCTTGCAATGATTGAAAACAGCAAATATCTGAATTTAAATACTGTCGACAATCAAAGCCAAACAGTATTGATGAAAGCTGCTATTAGTGGGATGACGAGATTTGCTCTGGCACTAATCAAATGTGGTGCTGATGTCAACATCAAGGACAAAGAAGGCAACACAGCATTGATGTATGCCATAGCTTACGCTAATGAAAACACCGCTCTTGCAATGATTGAAAACAGCAAATATCTGAATTTAAATACTGTCGACAATCAAAGCCAAACAGTATTGATGAAAGCTGCTATTAGTGGGATGACGAGATTTGCTCTGGCACTAATCAAATGTGGTGCTGATGTCAACATCAAGGACAAAGAAGGCAACACAGCATTGATGTATGCCATAGCTTACGCTAATGAAAACACCGCTCTTGCAATGATTGAAAACAGCAAATATCTGAATTTAAATACTGTCGACAATCAAAGCCAAACAGTATTGATGAAAGCTGCTATTAGTGGGATGACGAGATTTGCTCTGGCACTAATCAAATGTGGTGCTGATGTCAACATCAAGGACAAAGAAGGCAACACAGCATTGATGTATGCCATAGCTTACGCTAATGAAAACACCGCTCTTGCAATGATTGAAAACAGCAAATATCTGAATTTAAATACTGTCGACAATCAAAGCCAAACAGTATTGATGAAAGCTGCTATTAGTGGGATGACGAGATTTGCTCTGGCACTAATCAAATGTGGTGCTGATGTCAACATCAAGGACAAAGAAGGCAACACAGCATTGATGTATGCCATAGCTTACGCTAATGAAAACACCGCTCTTGCAATGATTGAAAACAGCAAATATCTGAATTTAAATACTGTCGACAATCAAAGCCAAACAGTATTGATGAAAGCTGCTATTAGTGGGATGACGAGATTTGCTCTGGCACTAATCAAATGTGGTGCTGATGTCAACATCAAGGACAAAGAAGGCAACACAGCATTGATGCATGCCATAGATTACGCTAATGAAAACACCGCTCTTGGAATAATTGAGCAAATTAAAGATCTAGATTTGAATGCTATCGACAATCAAGGACAAACGGCATTGATGATGGCTGCTTTCAGAGGAATGACGACAATTTCCAATGCACTAATCACACGTGGTGCTGACGTCAACATGAAGGACATAAAAGGAAGAGTGGCCTTGATGTACATTGGTTTAGCAGATTTCGATAAGGCTTTCCGTTTTGATGCCGGAATATTAACTCATAAACTTATAAATGCTGGTGCAGACGTAAACAAGACCGATGACGACGGTAATACAGCTTTGATGTACAATGTGAAGTATGAAACATCGCTGATCGAGTTAATAGAACGAGGTAAAGCTTACGTTGACGTAAGGGATGACCAAGGCAGGACAGCATTGTTTTATGCGTTAGTGGAATCGAACTTATCTACTCGATATCTCGTAGAAAATGGTGCAAATCTTCACTTGATCGACAAACATAATGTCAGTGTGTTATCGTATTTCATTCATCACTGTATTAATAACGGTGTGCCCGATGAAAATTTAATGCATGAAAAGTTTGCTTTATTAAAATATAATGGAGTCAAGAAAGAAACAATTGTGAATGCACTTATCAACGCAGTATTCTGTAAATTGCCACTTTTAAAAAGTCAAGTAAACACCATCTCAATAACGTCCATCACATCATGTCTTGCTTTTGCTACCAAACTTTCAAAGAAAAGACTTAGCTTCAGGAAAGATAATAAATGCAGATTATTGCAAGACCTGGTGGTTTCAATTAAAAGAGACCAACATTCTGTGTCAGTATCTTATTTATCAAAAAGGCTCGATAAACTCCTGGAAATTGATGCGGATCCAAATACTTGTGATGAGCAAGGCAACACCATTGCACACCACATCACTTTACTAGGGATATATGATAACTCTGTTGAAGCTAAAAATGTTTTTGATTTTCTAGTTTGTTTGGAGAAAAAGGGACTGAAAATCAACAAGAAAAACTGCAATAAGGATTTACCTCTTTTCTTTATGCTAACGAAAGCTGTTAACCATGACGAGAGAAGGCTTAATAAAGAATTCCTTTTAGATATGTGCATTTTTTTCCTTGAAAAAGACAGAACAATATTACAGGAAACTTCTCAAACCGGCGATTCGGTTTTTCATCTCTTAGTCAAGCTTTCAATGAACGAGGAATCTTTAGAGCGATGCACAGTTGAATTATTACGTTTGTTTCCTCACTCACGGTGGGAACTCGGAAGTATTGTTAACAGTACTAACGATGAAATGAATACTCCCCTTCATGTTTGGGCTGCCGGATCACGGCGAAAATCAAAAGCAGGGGAACGTGATCAACATGCTTCTGAGAGATTAAATTTGCAGAGACCCTCGGAAAAGATGCTTGACCTGCTTTTTAACTGTGGTGCTTTGCATCATGCAACAAATATGAAGAAGGAAACTCCTCTTCATATGTGCAGAACCTGGGCTGCCGTTAAGCTATTGTTTAAAGCAGGAGCAAAGACTAATGATGTAGACGCATTAGGACGATCTCCTTTACTTTCAGCAGCAGAGAATCGTCTATTTCTTGAGAATCCCGGCTGTTTTTATCCGGACGTTTCACCAGATGAGACACCGACGTTTTGGAAGACTGTTATGGACATGGGTTTTGACTTGTGGACTTGCGACAAGAATGGAGATTCTATCATTGGTATTCTTATAAAGGAAAACTCGTTTATGCTAGCTAGTGGTTTAATTGAAATTACTTGTAACAACAGCAGAAACCTACAAAATGAAATTTTGGTGGGAGTTCTGAATGCAATCTGCAAAGATGAATCCACTCAAACAACCTGGAAAAGTATTCTACTTGACAAATTGCTCAAGCAACTCAAATTCACAAGACGCTCATTAGATTTGAGCTTACCTCTTCGGTCCTGCTGCATGAATGTCATTGATCACTGTGCTACAATAAGATGCACAGAAGCAACGGAACCTGATTCTGTTCATTATAAAAATGCTAAACAACTTCTACGCTACGGTGCGCCTGGTGAATCTTGCCTTGATTTTGGTGAAGGATGTCCACCTCTGCAGGTTCTACTTTCTACTCCAATCTCTATAGAAGAAAGACCTTTAGTCATACCCTGGACATCTCGCTCTCGGAAACACAAGCAACAACTAGCTGAAGTTGCAAGAGGACTCAACTTCAATGCCGTTGGACAATATTGTTACCACAAGACGCAAATCGGACGTGGAGCCTTTGCACAAGTCTTCGTAGGCATTCATAAAACGGACGGCATGGAAGTAGCCGTTAAAAGAGTCCATTATATACAAAAGGATCGATACGAAGATATTCGAAAGACTAGAAGCTTGGCTTCTCTTCTTGAATGCAAGCATATTGTTCGTTATCTAACTTTCCTACAAACAGCTGGCTATTTCTTGATAATAATGGAATTGATGGAAGGAAATCTTATCGAATATTTTGCCAGTAATGTTTACGACCAAAGGCAAACCAAAGTGCTCTGCCGAGATCTGGCACTAGGCTTAAAGTATCTTCATGAACAGAACATTATTCATTGCGACATCAAACCAACCAAAATTCTTTACAAAACCGATCCCCAACTCTGCCTGAAGATTGCTGACTTCGGTTTGAGCCGTCGTATAGACGTCATTAGTTCCTTCACTGTTAAAGCCACCGGAGTTGGGACTCGTAGCTGGATTGCACCGGAGGTTCTAAAATCAACCGCTCACGAACATTCCTGGTCATCAGATGTCTTTTCGTGTGGTCTTGTTTTTCATTATATCTTGTCAAAAGGTCACAGACATCCATTCAGTCCAACGGACTGCGCTGACAAATGTGAATTCGAAATCATACTTAATACAGAAAACAACATCTTGAATAGTGATATGAAGAGATGGGATAGCTGTCTCGATCCGGAATCATCTCATCTTATTACAGGAATGCTTAATTGCACTAACGAGAAAGAAAGACCGACCGCATCAATGTTGTTACACCATCCAATGTTCTGGTCAAAGAAGAAGAAGCTTGATTTCCTCATTGCCGTTGGTAACCAAGAAGAATTCGAATGTCCACGTTCTAAAAGGACTGCTCCATTGACAATTGTCGAGAAAGATCTAGAGAACGAGTTTGCAACGATAGTGAAGTTTGGCAAGTGGGATGATCCACAGTACAAGCAGACATCGGCGATTTTAATTGAGATGCAGAAGCCAATAGTCAAACATGATAAAAAAGGAAAACCTTACACAGTTCCAACAAGAAAGTACGATATTGGTTCTGCAGTAGAGCTGGTTCGATTCATTCGCAATGCCATCGCTCACGTTTCTGAAGCAAGTCGACCACCCGCAATCAGGACACAAATCCTCGAAGATGCTGTATTTCTGGATGAATTTCCAAATCTCGTTATAGAGGTGTTCAAAGCTGTTACTACACACGGATGGGACGTTTCTAGAAAGGAAATCAAACATGTCTTGGCAAATGACTGACAGGAACACTCTTCACATGTAATGGTGAGCATACTGTACTTGAGCGTAACCCACAACCGAAAATAACCGATACCAGATAGAAGGAAAAAGGATATATCATTCCTTTAACATACTGAATGTCACTAAAATTCTCTTTCTAACTTAAACACTAGTGTCCCTAAATCTTGAAAACTGTGTACTGCTTGATAATTTTGTTGTTTCGTCCTAAGAGACGATGTTTAGAGTTATAAATCCCTTGCATGTGACATCAAAGCAGATTCACCGGGAGGACAAAACAAAAGATGTTTGACCTCTTCGAAACTAGAATCAGTTGTTTTGTCCTCCAGTTGAAGCTGAATTCCAATGAACTGAAAGGGGTCTACAATGCAGAGACAAATAAACATTGCTTTTGTGTTTCGACTCCAAAACTTGTTTTAAATCTCTTCTTTCTGAGATTCAGAAAACGTGACTGCCATTGTCAGTTGTAAAGTAACATCATAGTTAGTAACTACTAACTATGGTAACATAAATCTTCATCTGGCCTTTTGTGTTTTCAGAGTACAGTACAAGTCTGGCATTTTGCTGCTGAAAAGACTACCACAGCAGACTGTATAGTAGACAGTAGACAGTATAGTTATCGATTTTATTAGATTGACATTGCATTTTATATCTCGTAATTTATAGGAATAACCTTATAGTTTTGTAGTTTTACGTGTAAGTCAATCCCGCAACAAAATCATTTTATAATCTATGTTTTTAATGTTTTGCAGGAATATTCATATATATATTAACCTTACAAATATCATTACGGTGCAGACAATAATATTCTAGATATCTGGAGTATTCCGGCGTATTTCGAAAAAATACGTTAACTTTATAGTTAACACCTAATAGCGGAGCTCCAGTGGCAATATAGTACTGAAAGAATGATTATCTACACCTACTTGCAGAAACGTTTCATAGAAAATAGAACATTCGAATTTAGTAAAAAGGAATAAATTAAAACAAAACAAAAGAAAGCGTTCAGCCTCAGTAATCTTCTTTTGTCTTTTTAATTTATTCCTTTTTACTAAAATACAAATGTCCTATTTTTTTATGACAACGTTTTCGCAAGTAGGTGTAGTACTCCATTTCAATTCAAGGATAGCCTTAGTAGAGGTACGCTGTTTCAAAGAATGTAAACAGAATACTTTTATTGACGCGTGAACAAATACTTAATCGTTATGCAAAAGAAAAAGTAAGTTTAAAAGAACTTCGTACTCTAAATTCATTGACTTTGGTAGATTTTATTCAGTGGGACGAACTTATTATAACTTAATCAGTTAATCTGTGCATCAATTGATTTTAATGCAGATAGTCAACATACAAGAAATCAGATTTAAGCAAAGAATCGATAATTCAAATGGGAATACTCACACCACAGCAAACTGTACAAGAATATCTTAAGTATTTTATTTTACCTTGATTCTTGAACTTCCGATAAATTTTCAGGTTCAAAAATATTCGAAAAGCATTATCACCATACTTATTTCAAAAACAAGCTTCATCAATTAATAAAATCGTTCAAGGCTGTATTCTTGTTGATTCTCTGTGTTTTTAAATCTGTCTCAATCGAGTTCTGCTGATATGGTCTTGGTTTCAGTGAAATCTCTTGACACTTCTCGACAAAAAAATAAACCAAAATTGTTGCTTTTCCCAATATTTTTGCAGTATTTTCAATATAGCATCATATCATTTTCTTGTGGTCGAAATGTCAATGCGAAAAAAAAAATCATCCTGCTATTCATAAAAACTGAGCCTCAAAACGCTTGACGAAAGTTAATTGCTTTTCATCTTCGCAAATCGATTTCCCGGATGTGCAGACGCGTCGTAGTTTTTACAAAATTGACGGGAATATTTCTGTGCCAGTTATGATCGCAAACCCTTCTAGTTGTATATCTAGAAATGTAGATAGAAATGCTTATAAATTTTATGGCTGTTCAATCATCTGCAATGAATATGCTGAGTATTTTTAAATACTCATACTATATTTTAAAAAAAATATTGTGTTACAATCATAACAGAAAGTTAATAAAACCTCACGTTGTAACCAACTCATGCCTAGTTATAATATCTGACCCTACAATTATACTGCAGAATCGCAAAGGCGGATACTGCTGAAATTTTTATCGAAAAAATAACATATATCTTGGAAAGTCTCGAAGGATCAAATCATTTTATATTTCGTATCATTTTAAGTTATAGTTTAAAACACGAGAGAGAGTGTTTTAAACGGCTTAAAAAACTCCAATACTAATTTGAAACTAAAATCCGTTAAAATTCTTGGAGAAATTGCCGTACAAATATGTTCAGAGATAAATGGGGCAAACTGATCATGCGCGAATCTTTTTACAAAGCAATCTTGTCATCCCACATTGAATACGCATAAAGTAAAATAGAACCGCTCTTGGCTGTTCAATGAAATCGGTTGACATCCTGCATTGGTCAATGATCAGGTCTCAAACCTGAGACCTTTGCTAGGGTCATGGACCTTTATATCTGATAAAGGTCACCCTTATHRGTATTCTTTATATAAAGAATACTAATAAGGAGTGTTTTATCAGATATAAAGGTCCATGCATGTGACCAAATAGGCTCATTCTATTGGCCTAGTAGCTCATTAATTATGTATGAGTTTTTGAAAGGGTTTTAAAAGACCTAAATTACTAATGATTTTAATAACATCATGTACAACAAAGCGAACATGTGAACCCTGCATACAGGGTCTAGTTTAACAATCATATCTCATCTACATTTTATTTGATATACAGTCACTCTGAAACCCTCTGGTGACCATAATCCTTAGCGTTAAAACAATAGAATGTTTTGGTGTGACGTAATTATGCGACATAGCGCAATTGTTCGACAATGGGTGGTTCAATCATGTAAAATGTATACAGCGTATATGAGAATACTGTTGCAATTTTACTGTAGAAGCTGTAAATAGCAAAATATGTGATATAGACTATTTAAAGGCGCCGTCCCAGTGCCCTCTCGACTGGTTTTTCTGGTCGATCACTTACTGCTGTTTGAGCAAATTTAAGTGACAAATCGAAAATCTGCTAAGGAGAAAAATTTACGATTATGGAATCGGTCTTATATGTTACTATACAGTAAACAAGGAAAGTTTATTACAGAATAAACATTAAACATGCAAGATTAGTATTAGTAAATAAATAATAAGTAAGTATTAATATTAGTAACAGTGATTAAATAACAAAGAGAATAAGAAAAATCTGTAAAGTAAGGAAAATAAAGCAACAAGGAGACCGCATAGATAAAGAAAATTGTTCATATTATTTCCACCTTTTCTCATTTTTTTTTTCAATTTTGTTTTCATTCCCAGATATTGTTTACATATACAAGGTATGCATTTTGATTAGGGAAAATTCCCTAGACTAGTAGACTGGAAGAACCCTTTGTTCGTCAAAATACCTCCCTCGGGCGACGAGGCTTATTATGACAACACTGAAGTAAACATGTCTACATAAATCGCAATGGATCTTGGTTTAAGCCATCTAAGAAGCTGATTATCTCAGTTTCGATAAGATTTACCAAATGAATTGACTACATACAAGTCAGTACATTCCAGACACTAAAGATGGGACTGATGTTTGCAGCATAGTTTCTAGAGACTTCGATAATTTGAAGTAAATAAAGTGTCCTTGGCTGTGCATCAATGGAGCGTTCCCTCAAGCGATAGTCATACGAAGCTTACCAAAGCACTCTGTACATGTTTTCGCAATAAAACAATTTGTCTGACATTTTGATCTGTTTTCCCCTGTCGACTGCTATTATTATGGCGCCGTTTATACTTTGTTTTCCCCTGACTATAGTAAGTACAAGCGTACCAACTCTCTTCCTGCGTGGCTCGCTCGGCAACCTCGTTCCCAGGGTCTTCTCTACTCGCAAAATGGCCAGGTTCTTCTCAGAACCCTTTGTTCATGAAATACCTCCCGTGATGCACAATGTTTGATATTGACAAACATACTGCATGTGATCTGTTTTAATATTACTAATTTGACAAGACAACACGCTTGAGCTATTTTCTGCAAGACTTGTTATTCTGATCAAACCTGCTAGGATCTTGTATATCGGCCAATAGATGGTTTATTACAAGTTAACCAGTATCTAGGAATGTACCTGATGGATTGAAAAGAACTTTAAACGAATTTGTATTTCTTTTGAGCTCTTGAGAGTGTCCTTCACTCCCAATTTTGAATAGACCTTATTACCCAAGTTAACCAGTATCTAGGAATGTACCTGATGGATTGAAAAGAACTTTAAACGAATTTGTATTTCTTTTGAGCTCTTGAGAGTGTCCTTCACTCCCAAAAGGCGCAAGCCAACTTTAATTAAATCTTATAAAACATTCCATGCCCATATGCGGTATCAAGGTTCAGTGATCAACGAACCCCTTTAGACGTCTTCGACGTCGTTTGCTTCCTTCACACTTTCTACTGAAGATCGAGCAGCGAGCACCAAAGCTAAAAGCTAAGGTACCTTGGATAGTTTGAAACGGTTGTGCGTGATTCATCTGAAGATTTTGCAGTTGATTGAGAAAGTGAAATGTTTCACAACTACTTAATGTGTTTTTCGTGGTCGAGCGCAATCTTAATCAAGTTATAAAGAAAGTACTTTCATGTGACTTGGTAGGTTTTGTGCAAGTATTGAATCTAACTTGCGTATTTTCTTAACAGATTTTCACCGCATCATAATGAAGTAATCTAAAAATTGATCTAAGGAAAAGGTAATTATTGTATTTAATCACATTATTCACAATCGATCGATGCTGCGAATTTCCCAAACGCTTCATCTATATAGTTCTCCATCATGGCGAAAAATTTGGGCCACAATCACAAACCCCTTTTTACACTCTGCGCTTCTCGCCATTGGTGCATGTGTGCTAAAACCTCATGCCATTTTCCCCTAGTATTCTATGATTTTCATGTCATTGTTTTACTCACTTTTCAAATTGTTTCATTGGCACAAGTAAAAACGGAGGTAGGCATAGTTAATTGAGTTACTCCGCTTGCAGAATCGATTCATTATTAGCTCCAGATAACAATGGCTATCCATCTGTACGAACCGATGTACGCATTATCACTGAGGTATATCACTCTTTCAAGTGATTTTATAATTTTTTTGCAGTAAAGTCAACAAGAATTCAAGATGTAGAGGAGCATCAAATCAAAGGTAAACAAATATTGATTTGTTCGCGAGATAGACACGGCATTTGTCATTTACCATTCTACTAGAATATATTATTGCGTTCCTACGAATATTTATCAGTGCCTAACATAAGAAAATCAATAAGTTGATTTTCTTGTCTATGATCCTTGTTTTGTAGACCCCTAGTTCGTTTATAATATTGGAACTGATAATTAAAATGTATTTTTCATGTTATGTTATCCCTAGCTAGATATTCCACAATTTTAAAGCGCAGTTTCAGGCGTCCATTTTTCTTAGCATGTTTATCGCAACTCTTTTGTACATCTGAAACAACAGTAATTTTCATACCATGTGATAAGTATACAACTGAAAACATATATAAACTCATGGCCAGAAATTCCGGACATTTGAGCCCGGGACGAGTCAGCGGGTTTTCCCACCAAAATAGAGCTCTCTACAAGTTTCCTTGACAACGTTTGAACTTTTGAAGATCAAATTTTCTACTCTTGTACAACGATCCTTTATCTTAATACAATACTGGGTTAAAATCGAAACGTTCAAAACATCGACAAACGAGTATTGGGATAGCACGCCCTGATCCTTGAGTTCATTAGTGGCTTGTGAGGTGCTCGTTTGGAATGTTCATAGTATAAATAATATTATTTGCTGTAACACACGTTTGCCTCAGGTATTTTAAACAATGATCATCGGTTGATATTGTGATCTTTTGTTTATACTTGTACATTTCTAAGGAATTTAAAAGGTCTGACATTGTTTACACTAAATAGCGTAGCCTTGATTGGTCTTTCTTTCGTTCGTATTTCCCGCTATTTACCAGTGCGCGCAAGGCGCCAGTAAAAACCGCCAAAATTAAAGCAGTCCCAGTCTGAAAGTCACGTTTCTAAGGTTTATTTTGGTACCAAACATGGCGAATAAAATGGAAAGAAAATGGAAGATCGAGGCCAATTATTCACGTGAAACACGAGTCGTCGTCAGCCATTTCACCGTCAAGTTAGCGTTTTCAAATTGTACGATTTCTAGTACCAAAAACTGTTTATCGTCTTCAAATAGCTGAAAATCGCTGTGTTTCTAGCTCAATGTGTGGAATTTGAGAAATGATCTTTGAAAAATCAATGACATGTAAGGMAACACGATCAGCTASGGYGAAATTTCGYTTCTTCGCAAATTTTCACCATGAAATACAAGGGCAAAGGAGATGACGAAAGGAAAAGAAATTTGTCAAAAAGGACGCTCTTAACAATTTCGTGTTTATTTGGCTTTCCTACAATGGAATCATGAATAGTTTCCCTTTAGGATTTCATCTTGGAAAACTTTCAAGGTAAAACAGATCAAATGTTATTATCAAATAGTTTTTTTGATCCGTACATTTCTTTGTAAAATTTAACAAACATGTTTTTATGCTTTCTGCGAAGTACCGCTGCTATTGCGGGCTCGTATGTCCGGATTTTCTGGCCATGAGTACTCGTTTAGGGGAATTTTGATGTGTTCCTGCAAAATGTCTGCAAACTAGATTTCCATATTTTAGTGGAGGAGCCTGCGACTTCTGTTCTACCAAATACGATACGATTATACGATTTAGTATCCTGACGAACAACTGCTGTACAGTTTTTTTTGTCTGTTTGTTTTTCTCTACACAAATTTGAGGAGCTACATCCTTTAGAGTCTTGAAAACGTGTTCTTATCTGGTAAATTATTAGTTTCCTGGGGAAAGTTGCTAGTATTTCTGAGAGCATTATAATCTTGCGTAGGCTGCCTTACAAATGGGGTTTTCGTTTTCTTCTTCTAATGCGGACTTTAACTAAATGTTTAAATTACTTCAATGCAATAGGTCCCTACGGGACTGTAACTTACAGCTCGCTGGGCATCAGAACAGATGCATTTCTTCCAGGAACCCTTAGGCTCCTCCTAGTATATTGTTTATATATTTTTGTGGTATAAAGTGTGTAGATGAAGAGTTTAATGCAATGATGCTTATATATATCGCGAGTAATGTCGAAAATATTCTACGAATGTAAACATATTCTGCCAGGTTTGTCGCAGTTTCAGAAACAATGAAACCATCATGACAAGCAAATATTAACAAACAAAAACGTAGATAACAAACAGAAAATGCAAAAGAAAAATAAATGTCATCAATGTTTGACAATAAGTTAAATGCATGTTTGTTGCAGCTTAACATAATGAAAGACACCTCGCAATTCAAATCAAAACCGCTATTACAACGAATAACAAGACATCCATCACAACTTGCATAGCTTTGAAACTGAATGTCATTCAGAGATGAAGTTGCAAAACGGTTTGATACAATGTATATCAAAAAGGTCATGCCGACAAGAAAAGCTGTATATAAAAAGTCCTTTTATTGTAAAGAAATAGAGATACAGACCTCACCATGGTCTGTTATAAGGAATGTTTGTGCAACCGACAGAAACTTAGCATTTCATATCAAACTAACTAGAAAWTCA